TGATGAATATAGTAATCCGCCAAAAAAAAACTTGGCGAATTGCTAAAATTTGGTGATTGGCAAATTATAATTTGGCAAATTAGTGGCCACGTGGCATTGAGCATGCATATAATGGCTCAAAATGGCGGACTTTATTTTGGTGAATGGCTATCAAAATGCCAAATTCATTAAATTTAATTCTCTACAAAATTTCCCACTATAAGGTATAATGATGAATTTAGTAATTATAGTGACATATGATTACAAGCTATCATGTGACTGTCACATGATCACTGACCTGTAATTGACAGCTGCTTATTGGTTGAGAGTTTTTGCTTCTTCTCCTCATCAGTGATAATTAACGTTAATAACTTGTAATATAATGACTTAGTGAGCTGGAGACGAACAAGAGCAAAATTATCAGGAGATTCAAATAAATCCTAAAAAATAAAAAGAAATTAAATTGCCCTCTGATGAGTATTATAACTTTCAACCCCCTCCCCCCAGGGAAATAATATCCATTATAAATTCATGTACATGTATGAATAATAATAATTATAATCTACCACTCAAGATGGCGGAGAATCATAGCCACACCCCTTGTTGATTAAATCTGTGCAAGAGCTCATTACCTTTCTAATTCAAGAGCAGCTCCTTTTCTCTTCTCCACTAGTTTATCAGTGAGTCCGCGAGTTATTGCCACTGGTATTATACTACTAGTACTAACAACAGATCCTACACTACCTACTGACTGCTGCTGCTAGTCTTTATCCATTAATAACAGTATCCTTCACCTCTTGGCTCTTGTGTGAGTGAGTGGGTCTTTATGCTGAGTTTGGGTGTACACCTATTGTGATTTTTATAATAAGAGTTAATACGGTATATCAGCCACGCCTTTTTTACCTGCAGCAGCCAGCCTCACCCTTTTGTTGCTGTGCGTCTTTTTGCTGTTTTGCGTCTTTTTGGTTGTGCGTCTCTTTTTCTGGTCCATTTCCAGTTGGATCTACAGGAAAGCTTGTTCCTTTGATTAACTAGTGAAGGTTACTCTTACTTTGCAGTACTAGAAAGGATCTTCTCTTCAATTCCTTTTATAAAGTCCTTCTTTCTTTATTGTGGTGTAAGTGATCACTGAAATATAATAATGTACTATATACACTGATGGACACTCTAATTATAATACTGATGTGTTGTTAAGTAATAGTCATTGTGCAATGGAATGATCCAATTCAGTGAGTACAATAACATTATTCATGATTATTGATGATACACTAGTGATACTTCTCATGATCATAGATATTATAGTACAATGATTAACGAGTTTGCAGGGTCAAGCAACCTGCAAAGCACTGTACATACACTCAATGATATACCGTATAGCAGGTTATTTTCGAGGATAACAAATTTCATGAATTTCGCAGATTTTTTCAAGATTCGCGAAATTAAATTCCTTGAAAATCAATTGATATGGTTAGTGGAAATTCGCGAAAATTTATTCCATGAACCTCCGGATATGGGTCATTCGCAAAATTTATTATCCTTGAAAAAAACCACTCTATGGTACTTCAGTTACACACACACCCACTCACTTATATTGTACTCTTTGGATCTCAAGCAACTACTACTGGAGTATAGTAGTTGTACTTCAAAGGTCAATAGCTCCATGTGTCTATAGAATTCTATCAGTTATTATTGTATTTATTATAAGACTTGCTTCATGTATGCATCCACAAACCACAGTAAAGTAATGTACCGTACAAGATGATTTATTGGCGGGAGTAATATTTGGTGAATTTGCTTGTGAAAAGAAATTGGTGGATTTAATATTGGCGATTTTGTGCCACGTGTCATTGAGTAGTCTGGCGCAGCCTGGCTGTGCCAGACTATCATTGAGCATGCTCAGATTGAAACAAAATGGCGGATTTTATATTGGCGATTTCTTTATAAAACCGCCAATCGCCAATATTAATTCCTCGCTAATAAATCATCTTGTACAGTATCAGAAACCACCCTATGCAAATCCACCCTCTGTAATAATATCTGTCCTCTTGATATCTACCACCCCAATCCACCCTCTCCAGTAATAAGATATTTTAATAATATTCAGTGTTATTGGTGAGTTCCAGTAACTATTTTCATGAGGTCCTATATACCACACACATACACTGATACACCCATCCTTTATACACTGGTTCATGTAGTACATCTGTACTGCTCCATTTCAGTTTACAGGGAAAGCTTGATCCTTTGATTAACTAGTGAAGGTTACTCTTACTTTGCAGTACTAGAAAGGATCTTCTCTTCAATTCCTTTTATAAAGTCCATCTTTCTTTATTGTGGAGTAAGTGATCACTGAAATAGCTACACCTTATAAACCACCTAATTCTCTCATTGTCCTCCATACTATAGTACAAGATGATTGATGTCTCTCAATGGAGAGCAAGTATTGGACTGTGGAACTACTGTCAAGCTTCCTCCAGTAGACCAGCTAATGGCCGCCACTCTCACTCATTCAAAGCTGCAGTAGACAGCAAGTCAGGCAGTACTATATCAGGAGAGAAGACATCTAAACTGCCAGTAGCTCTGTCTCTTATTGTTTCTCTTCTTTTATCTTTATTAAGATATATGAAACTCAATTTTATTCCTCCAACTGGTAAACAAACTAACAGTATATAATATTATCATACAGTGTATTTACAATAGGTATAATTACTGTTACTGTTATGATCCACTGCCTCCAGTCATTAGTCTTGTTTATAGCTACTATTGGGAGTAGCTCTGACCTGATCTACTATTTGGTTTTACTTCTCCTCCTCTTATCAGGAGATGTTGAACTCAATCCTGGTCCTATAACAGGTAACACTCTCATTGATTCTAACATGATTAAGCTGCCACAAAATACCTAAATAATATTGATTATATCATAGGTATGATGAATAAAGTATGGAATTGGATTCGCACTAAAATATTTAGGTGCTGGCAATCTAATCAAAGTATACATGAAACTATTATACATACCATGTAAATGTACATATCAATAGGTAGTCAGCCTTTACAAATGCAAGAATCACAAGGTATTTTGATAACCATGCATTAATCAGAAATAATGAATATTAAATAGATGCTACCAGTATTGCTCCTACTGTATCAGTAGTACCTACTGTATCATCATCATCAGTTTCTGTAATTACTAAACCTGTTACTAGTACTACATCAGGTAAACATAACATACTCTTAATGATACAACTAAGTTGATAGTTCATATGATAGATACCAAAGGAACTGAGGACTCAACACCAGATGAAGGAAATAAACCCACTCATAATGACAGTAATAATGGCACTGCAACATCAGGTATATCATTAAAATTAAACATTCATTAGCAGATTGTACTTTAAACCATTCATCAATAATTCTGTTTGATGTTAATGATATGAATGAGGTTTCCAAAGGCCAGCTACCTGGAAGCCATTCAACAGAATATTTGCTTGAGCCTAATTAACCACTTGTCATAACTATGTCTCCATGAATAATTATGTTTAAAGGTGTTTATCCATTATTTGTACTACAGTCTGTGGGTGTATCAAAGGCACCTCCATGAGTTTATATAGTGGAGAGTAGTTAAAAGTAGGGCTAGGAAAATTATACTAGCATAATTGGAACATAATGGGTCAAAAATTTCTGACCCTATACCCCTGACCACATGACTTCAATTCAATACAGCAAGTACTGTATAGCAGGTAGTTTTGGATGGGATTAAATCTGGCAAATTTGGTGTTTTGATAGCCATTCTACAAAATAAAAATCCACTATTTTGAGCCATTACACGCATGCTCAATGGCACGTGGCCACAAATTCGCCAAATTAAGAATCTGCCAATCGCCAAAATTTAGCAATTTGCCAATATTTAGTCCCTCCAAATTTACCCGCTATACAGTACTAGGCTAGTGCAACTAGTCCTTGTACCTGGGCAAAGCTGGATGAGGCTAATGACTTAGAGTATTTTATTTTCCAGTGATTCAAAGTCTTTGAAATAATATTTTCAGATTCTGGCATTATTACAATATTATTTTTATTACAATTATATTATATATACATGTTATATATAACAGATATATGCATGTAACTTGATACTAACAGGCAGAAATTGAAGCATAATTTGCCTAGTCCTAGTTAGAAGTCCACACACTCAAACCAGATAAACTACAGCTGTTTTGTGTTACTGGATATCCAGTAACCCTCAACATCTGTAGTTTATCTATAACATAGATCATAGATTAGAACCTATTGAAAGAGTTCATTCAACTGCAGAAGATTGGGGATTCACTTATAATGACAAAAATGACACACATATTAAAATTTACTATAAATTATAATATAGGTACTGCTGATGCTCCTACTAGTACTGTATCAGTAGTATCTACTGTATCATCATCAGTTTCTGTAATTAATAAACCTGTTACTAGTACTACATCAGGTAAACATACACTTAATACAACACTCATTAACTGATACACTACTGCAGGTAACACTCCTAGTGCTACATTAAGGATGAATTATGCTACTCTTGTTGATGCTATTACTAATAGTCTTCAGAAAGTAACTGATGCACTGTATGCTAAAGAACTGATACCACAACAAACTAAACAGGAAATGCTTGTACCAGCAGTTGATAATTATACTAAAGCTGCCAAACTTATAAATGTCATTGAAAAACAGTTGGAATCCTCTCTTAATCCAGAGCAGTATCTTATTGATATATGTCATGTATTAATAAACCAACAACATCGTACACTAACAGATATTGCTACCTCTATATTACACCAGTTAGGTGAGTGTGTGTGTGTACATTATCAGTGATCAATATAGTCATTATATC